AAAAGAGTACTGAACTGTTATGTAATATCAGTCCTCCTATATGGCAGCGAATGCTGGACAGTCTCCTCACAGACAAAAAAACTTAAGGCAACTGAAATGTGCTTCTACAGAAGGATACTGAGAATACCATGGACTGAACATGTGAGGAACAACAAAGTTTTAGAGAAAAAAATTGAATAAAAAAGGACACTTGACATCAGAAAAAAAAGGTGAAATTTCTAGATCACATGAGGAAAGAAGGCTTGAAAAATTTGACATTCACAAGACATATTGAAGGCAAAATAGGAAATCAGTGGATAACCTACTAATGAGATTGTGTAAATGGTTGGTAGAACAGGGTTTAGGAGATAGCAAAAAGACATTTACAAATAACTACAAAGGACAGAAATTGTGGAGAGCTATGATCGAACATGTTTTGAAGGGACAGAGAACATATAAGAAGAAGAATGAGCTTGTGTAAATGGGTGGCAGAACAGGATTTAGGAGAGATACCAAAGAAACAAAATTTTCCAAGAGCTACAAATGACAGAAAGTTGTGGAGAGTCATGATCACCCACATCCTAATGGGACACAGCATATAGAAGAAGAATATATAATAATAAAGTACATATATTAAAATAATAAGAAAGAACAGTAAGATTTATAATAAAGAATAATAATTTACTAAATCATAGAAATGAAATAGATATTTTTTGTAGGCACTGTCAAATATTTTCTTTAAATAATAATTAATTTTGAGAAAAAAAAGAGAGATGAAACATATATATTTATATTTGATCATTGATTAGTAATTAAATTCTAATATATTTATTTGTAAAAATATGATATAGTCTGTTAGTTATTAGAAGAAGGAATGGTACTTTAAATCTGTAGGAATAAAAATTAAATATTAAAAATAAGACTTACTCATATTTAAATGACTCTTTTAGAAAATCTTTGTGTATAAAAATATGAAGCCGATAAATAAAAGCTGATAAATAAAAATGTCAAAATTTTTTTATCATTGAGAACCCAGACACGCTGAATAACAGATGTCAATGTTTGTGAGCAGGCACCCCACCCCACCTAATCTCAACCTAAACTCAAAATATGTATGTATATATATATGATAAAATAAAGAACAAATAGGACATCTATATCAATCTAACATATTTCACTTTTATTAAAACTTCATCAGAGATTGAAAGAAAACAGACAAAAAGAGAGAAACACTGGTATTTTCAATTATGCTTGGGTCCGTTCTCAGACAAAATAACCATCTGATGCCCAATTAGACATACAAGAATCTTCTCAAACCTATATATACATAAAATTATCCATGGTTTTAATACATATAACACCTATCTGACCAAAGGGAACTGACCCAAACATAATTGAAAATATCAGTATTTTCTGTTTTTTTATCTGTTTTTTCTCAATCTCTGATGAAGCTTTAATAAAAGTGAAACATGTTAGATTGATATGTTTCCTATTTGTTCTTTATTTTATCATCCTGTTGGATTCCAATCCATATTTGATCTGCATTTGATCTTTAACTCATATATATATATATATATATAAGACATTTTTATGTTATACATTCTTTTTATAGATACAAATATTTAAGTAAATGCTCTGTTTATAATAAACAGTATTAAACAATATTTACTGGCCTGAATGTCCGAGAAATTTTACCGTCATTTGTTTACATTTGATATACCATGAGCAGATATGAATGAATGTGAGAGATTCATGGAAGATTGAAGTTTAAATACAGTAAATTCCACTTTGCAAACTGAACACTCCTCTGTGGCCAAATCAGTAAAGGCACATCAAGCTAAATGACGGTACCGTATAGGATACAGGTTCGAATCCTGTTGGAGGACGAATATTTTATGTGAAAATTTCTCGGACATTCAGGCTGGTAAATGTTGTTTAATACTGTTTATTATAAACAGAGCATTTACTTAAATATTTGTATCTATAAAAAGAATGTATAACATAAAAATGTCTTAAAATAATTGTCAGACTTTGTCCATTTCATAATATATATATATATGTTTCAACTACATAAAATCCTGAATTATGTTTCTTAAAAACATTCATCAAATCACTATTGAAAATAAATAATAAGATGAAAAAGCTTAGTTAAGTTAAACATCTCTATACAGTTAGTAGCAAAAAGAAAAATAGTAAATATAGAAATAAATATAAAAAATAATAGATAAAAGAGGAGGGAACAATAAAAGAACAAAAATTAAGAAGAATATAACAATTTATATTGAATTTAAATTTTTGAAGATCAAAATTAACTGGGAAGCAAGAAGCAACAGTCCCACAAAAGGGGTAATATGATAGAAGAAACTGTTAGCATAGAACTTACAGTTAGATATAGCCATTTTGACTGTAAAATGATGAGACCTTTCCACCAATCTAGTACTGTACTTAAATTCATAAAGCGGAGGTACTATAGTGGAAAGTTCATCAGAAAAATTACCATGAAAGTATTTATAATAAAAGGCACAAGGAAGCTATGATACAGGAGTGGGAAAGTTACTGAAGACGAGATGCCAGGTAAGGAATAATAACATTTTTCATTGGATTTTATCAAGAATCTCTAAATATATAGCAGGAGCACCACACCATATATAGTAGCAATATTTAAAGCATGGATGAATGGTAAACATAAATATGTAAGATAGATTCTAGGGAGAAAAATTGTCTAGCACAACACAGTGAAACAACTTTCCTAGCAGCAGACCTAGTAAATGATTCAATATATTCTTAGAAAGTAAAAATGAAAAATGAGTATAAATGTAAACAAATATATGTAATAAAATCAGTCCTACCCTTTCACAGTTGAAACTGTTAAATGTAGCCACCCTCTTTTACTTTAATAGTTTCATGTCTCACACTTCCTGTCCATGGAACTCCCTTCAGCTTACTTGCTTCTCCGAAAGCTATAATCTTCAATTATTCAAATGCAATGTCAAGTGACATCTTCTGATGCCATAATCTAATTCCCCATCCTTCTCTTCATCCTTTCCTCTGTCATGCCTCTTTACTCTTGCTCCCACTCTTTGTAACCCCTTGCTAGTGACACTCCCGCCTTGCTTGGGGTGTAATGCTTAAAAAAAAAGTACTTATTTTATTGCATAACATTGAAAGCTTCATGGTATTTTTACATTTGGTAAAATAATATTGGAAACTGTACAGATGTCTTTGTTTTGTGACAACTTGGCATTTATTCAATACATAAACAAAACCATTAATTGTGTAAACAAGTACCAAACAAATGAGTTGACATTATGTTTGAATTGCAGAAAAACAAAAAATGTATCACACTTCATTATAATGATCTACTTGCTGTTTTGAATCTCAAAACATATTAACTTGGCCAAGATGTTCTTTCAGGTATTGTCATAATTCTGTTCTTTCAAAACATTTTCTCTCTTTCAACAAAGAACCTATCTTGGTTCCTTTTATAATCTTCAAGGGAATTGGAATATTTTCATTAAGATAATTACTTTGTCTTTTATGTGTCAGGATGTGTTTGATTGTGGCTCTCTACAACTTCCAATTTTTTGTTATTTTAAATAACTTTTCACCTTTTACCATCTGTCTGTCTTTTCTACCATCCATTCGCACAAGCTTATTAACTAGATTACTCACTGTTTTTCTTTGTTTCTCTGGTGCAGGATATATTGAAAGAAAGTCTTCTTTCATGTGCCTGTCCTTTCAAAATGTAGGTGATCGTGGTCTTCCAAAACTTTCTGTCTTTTGTAGATCTATGGAACTTTTGGCTATTCATCCTTGTTATGCCATCCATTCATGTAAACTCATTAAGTAGATTTCTCTGTTTCCCTATGTTTCTCTTGCCTTCTATATGTTCTGTGAGAGTCAAACTAAGTCCAGCTCCAAGCCAGAGAATGGGCAAAGGCGGACAACTGATGCCTCATAACCAGCTGCTTCAGGTCACTTTCTTAATTATTTAATTAATATTTGCTCTGGTGTTACTTTGAGCTCTCTGAATCACATCCTCTTTGGAATTATCCACACGGATTACCAAACCCTTCATTACCTAACTATATAAGGTGTCAGCAACAGGGATTGACTAGCCATCTGAGTAGATGGGAATCCTTGGATATGAGTGGCCAGCCATTAAATATACAGGGTGCAATGGGTAAACTGTTGCCATTTTATCTTCTTAATTTCACACATATGCGTTGTTTGTTCTTGATTTTTTCAACCGCACAGTATAGTAGGGTCAGTTGGGCACTGTCTGTGAGAAAAAAAATCACCATGACACAATTCACTCCACTGGAAGTGGCATGCTGTACTGCTTAGTAATTTCACTGGAATATGAATGTTTCAGTGTATTTGGGTGTAAATCTGAAAATAGTGCAGGGGATTCAGAAAGAGTTGAATGAGTCTAATGGTAATTATGAAGGTACGTCAGCTAAGAAAACTCATTCTGATAAGAAAAGAAGTCTTGAATTTGTTGGTGAGAGCATCAGACTCAACATGGAGGCCTACATCAAATGCCTTGAGGAGGTAGTGCTACCCTGGGCCAAGTGGGTTGCTGCTAGAAAATCCTATGTCAAGCAACAGTACTCTGCACCATGCCACACAAGCAGGAAAACCCAGTAATGGCTGTCAGACAATTTCTGCAACAACATCACCCCTTACATCTGACCACCTAACTCAGCAGACTGCACACCCCTTGATTATTATGTGTGGTGCACGGTTGGTCGAGAGACCAAAAAAAGTCCTTGTAACATCAAAGGTGAACTGAAAGCAAAGATTATGGCAGCATTCACCAACTTAAATAAGGAGACCATCCAGAAGAGTTGCTGGAGATTCCAAAGTTTTCTGGATGCCATGGTTGAAGTCAATGGCAATTTTATTGAATAAATTTACTCTTTAGTATTTCAAGATATTTTTGTGTAATTTTGGTAATTATATCTGTTAAAATGAGATGTCATTTTTGCATAATTTACATGACAATTTATCCATCGCACCCTGTAGATATGAACTGATTGAGATAGGTAGACAGATAGATATGAACATGTTTAGATAGATAGATAGATAGATAGATAGATAGATAAACTGTGATGTTATTGCAAGCTGATTCTAAAAATGATTAACAATAATATCTGAACTTATTTTTGTAAATAATATTTACGTGTTCTTATTCACTGCATTTTCTGAACAGTGACATAAAATTGTCATGTCAAACCAAACTGGTGCAACAATTGCTTCAAGGGAGGTTAATCTGGTATATATCAACATGGATGCTTTGTCTTATTGAATATTACTTTTGTACTAACTTTGATTTTCACTGTATGATTCTATTATCAAGTTACTGTGCCAGACTAAATTGAGTAAATATATAACTGTATGAAATTATTCAAATGAAAGTATTCTGCTTATCAGTTATGTGCCATGTGTGATACATGCTTAGATAATCCTGTATCTTTCGATACATGACTGACAAGGCAGATTTTTTCCCACAGTAGGTTGTCATTTTTTTCTGCAGTAGAGCAGTTGCCATCCAAGGCTATAGAACCCAGTCTGTCCTGCTATTTACTCATAGCTGGGGAAGAAGAGGATTCATACCTTTCCAAGGGAATTAGCACATAAGTGAATGTAATGGATTCGACTAAAATTCGAACTTGGCTCTCCAATTCCTTAATCTAAGCCACTATCCATTACTCCATCATGTCTCCTATTCTACTTATAAGCCTTTTGAATATGTAAAACTATAAATATAAAATATTTTCAAATTAAAACTTGTTCTAGGATTTATTTACCTAAGCAATAAATAAATTTAAATTAGAAACTTTAAGCAAAAATGAAGTAAGCTGATTTTTATTAAGTAACATAGTTATTATAAACATTTTGTTGCTTAAAACTACACATTCTCTGTGGAGCATATGGGCATTACCATACCACACTAGGTGTTGCTGCTGTGGTTTCTGTAACAAATAGGTTTTTCATGGAGTGCAGTTACTAGCTCCCCACCCCAACCTGTTTTGAATTCACTTATTAATTATACTTCTTCTAGACTAATTGCTAACCAAAGCCAGACTGCTCTGATATTTACCCCATAACTGGTAGAAGGGATGTATTAATATTTTCTTCTTTCTTTATCAGATGTTTTTGTTTATCATGCAGGCACATTACAATAGTTTTTTTTTCTTTTATATCTCTGTAAAAAATAATTTGTTTATTAAATTCTTTTGTTAATGTTGAAACAAATATTTTATTTTCTTCCAATTTTACTTACCATCTAATGAAAATAAACACCAAGACAGTCAATCATCAAATGACAAAAAAATGGTTTCTGAGTCAGATGATCCATGCATCCTTCCAGTTAATAAATTATTCCTTTGAAAATAAATATTCAACATTTTTCAACCAATGGATTGTGTTCCCACCAACAATAAAAAAACATGCTTTGTGATCCCTTTGAAGAGTATGTAAGCAAAGTCACCAGGCCAGACAAGCCAGTAAGGAATAAGGAACAACAAAAGATAGCACCAGTGCACAACATGGCTTTAAAGAGATTCTTTTACTCATTCACCTGTCTTCTTCACTAAGCTACGTGACACTTACACTCCTCCTTACCAAGCTATGTGACACTTACATTTCCTCCTCAGTTTCTTCCTTGCCTCTTTTTCTCACATTCTCTTCATCTTAACAACAAACTTTAACACTCATACATACAATGAAAAATTTAGTTGTAAAAACACAAAAATGAAAATATCTTATACTCTTATATTTAAAAACCTTTCTCGCCTTTTTCTTTGTTGTAGATTGATTCAACAACAAATATGTAAAACATGAAAAATGTAAGTAATTAATATTTCAATAACACTTAAAAACAGTAAATAAATTATCTTAACCCTGTATATAAGAATTAATTAGTGTTTTATGTTTATCCTTGTTAATTTTAACCTGATAGAAACAATAGAGATTTGGTTCTACAGAAGGATGCTGAGAATACCATGGATGGAACATGTGAGCAACAAGGAAGTTTTTAAAAAATGGACACTTTTATTTATCAGAAAGAGAGTTGAAATTTCTAGGACACATATTGAGGAAAGAGGGCTGAGAGAATTTGACACTTACAGGACACTGAAGGCAAAAGGAACAGAGGGAAACAGAAGTGAGCTACCTAACAGTTTTGTGTAAATGAGTGGCACAACAGGGAGAGGGAATGATGATAAAAAGACAAACCTTACAAAGAGCTACAAAGGTGTTATAGAGTAGTATCACAGTGGAGTCTTGTATTTCACTAAGTCGGTCCTAAAACGGTTCGACATACAAGATGTTAGGAACTTGATATAATAGTTAATGACGCAGCAATCTAGTTGTGGTGGCTGATACTTTAATATCCGACTAACAGTCGTCCGGCATCGACTAACTAACCAACTCACTGAGCGACTGGCAACTGCTACTACTCCTACTTATTATAGGTGGGAGACTCTATTAACTATAGAATAAGTGTGTTCTAGTATAACATCCCCCCCTAAAACTTTACTCCATAGGAGTAACCAGTTTTCTTTATTTATTTTTCATTTTTTACTGAAAATATGAAGAAAAAACAACAAAAAAAATTTTTTTTTTTTTTATCAACATCGTAGTGTATTTCCTACATTTTTTTTTTTGATCCACTTTTTTAAATGATCAGTTGCCTTTTTTTTTCTTCTGGATCGGTGTACCTCAGGTAAAATTGTTGCAGGCGTTGTTAGATCAAACGTATTAAAAATCACCTCCATCGGTGTTTTTTCCGCGGGACTGCTGTCAACCACATCTGAAAAATGTTGTCTGATCTGGTTACTGCACGTGAGTTTTTCCCCTTTCACCAAGTACATCATATTGCCAATCCCTTTTCTATTTTTTGGGACCTCCATAGTGTTACCAGAAACAACCTTCCGCTTTGAGCTTCTTAAGGATGGAGTCACAGTTTCTGTAGGTTCTTCTTGTGGTTCTATTTGTTCAGCCTCTAGCTTCCCTTTTGTTGATCTTGTGCTTCTTAACGTTTTCTGTAGTGACTTCAGTTGACTTAAATCATTTAATAATACTGCATGTCCTTGGCTGTGGGTAACTCGCTACCCAGTTTTTCTCGGTGTCGATTTCATCTTTACTTTCTGAAGCTTGTTTTTCACGTATATCGTCGGTGTTACCTATTCAACTTTTTTAAATACACCGGTTTTCTCTAATCTGTCCAACTCTTTATCTATCTGTTCAATTGAAGCAAACAGCACATTCCTTTTCTTTTTGAATACCGCCTGAGCATTTTGTTTTGGCTGTAATTTTGCCTCCATCTTGGTACACGTTCCCAAACCTGGAGAAAAAACAGTAGGAAATATTTCCTTAAGTTTCCTTACTAATTTTTGGGCTTCTGAGTTTAAACTTTCAACCTTGTAACAGAAAGAATTTATCGGTAGATCCCATAATTGGAATTCTGTTATCCAATTTGTACCAAGTAAGTTTGTCGTATTTTCTATGACAAATAGTTTAGCTTTTTGTGTTTTTTTATTTAACGTGATGTTTGTAACAAATTCGCCAATAAATTGTATTTTTTCTCCCGTCACTGACCTCACGATTTTATTTGTCTTCATTAAAGTTGGTTTCCTCAACTTCTTCCACGTATTCAAATTTATGATAGATGGGTCGGAACCAATGTCGAGTTGCATTTTTTATTTTTTATTACTTATTTCAACGGTAACAAATTTCTGGTTATTCCATCGTTCACCTTGGGACTTTAATTTTCTTATTTTATTGTCTTTATTTTTTTGACCTGCAGTGCGAGCTTTTATGACCCACTCTTTTACAGTTGAAACATTTTTTATTTTTAAAATTGCAATATCTGTACCAGTGAAGTTCACCGCAAAAGCAAAACATGGCTTCGGGAGTTTTTGTTTATTTTTTTCTCTGGTATTTCACTTTTGTTTGATAATCCGCAATTTTAGAATTCTTTTGGTAGACTGACTTTTTTTTTTTTTTTTTTTGTAGCGTATTTTCCTTACATGCAAAAATGCCAAACTGTTCTATCTTTTTTTAATCTTTCTTTACACTAATATATCTTGTGCAGTCTTCTGCCAAAATCTGTATCGAAATTCTTGGTTGGTTTTTCCAATTTTGACAGTACCAATTTCCTCAACTCTGCATCTTTTCCGATACCAGCCCTTGAACAAACACTAAGCACTTAAAGTTGTCAGCGCTTAACTCTGCTAGCTTGAATTCTTCACAATGCTTATTCACATTGGCTGCATATGTTATATAGTCTTGTTCATCCTCTTTCATCAGATTCAAACATTTCCACCTCTTGTGAAACAAAGATGTCTTTTTACTAAATAATTCACTTAATATATTTACCGTCTCAGTAAAAGTCAACTCGCTATTTTTTTTCAGTAAAATGTAGTTTACCAATTTGTTATGCTCCGCAGTTCCTAACTTGCTTAAAAGAAGTCTAACTTTCTTTCCTTTAGACCATGAATGACAGTCCTCATTATACACGTCCGTATATTTTTTATAATACTCTTCAAAAGTTATCTCTTCATCTGGACTGTACGTGAATATTTCAATTGAATTCCATATTGTATTCTCTGGGAAAGAATCATTTTGTAGATTTTTCTCTTTCCTCTTCTCAGTTATTTCCAGAATTTTGTTTTGAAACTCCTTATGCATCAGTTCCATTTCTCGTTGAAACTGCATCTGTCTATTAAAAGTTTCCTCCTGTAGTTGCAACTGGAATGTTTTCTGTTGCTCTAATATTGTCATCTGTTGTTCCGTCTGGAGCTTAAAAAATTCCTGAAATATATTTTTGCATTCCTCCATCTTCGCAAAAAGTTTACACAATGCTTAAATATTGTAGAGGGGGTCCTAAACGAATTTGCACTTCATGACCTATTTGAGTAAACTGTTATCGAGAAAAAAAAATTCTTTTCTCAGTTGAGAATACGACTGAGTTTTTCGTCACTAAGTTGATGTCTTGTCTTTCGAAAAACTTTGCCAAGTTTTTTTTTTTTAAATGTGAATCCAGATATTGTTTCAAAAAATTGGCGAGCAAGTTTTTTTTTTTTCCTCCATATGAATCCGAATTTTGTCACCAAATAATGTTGGCGAACGAATTTTTTTTTTTTTTCACCATATGAATCCGAATCCCTTGTTTGTTATGGCGGGTGAATTTTTTTTTTTTCCTTCCACCGTATGAGTATGAATCCTCATGGTCAAGTGTTGTATGGTGAATGAAAATTTTTCTTCCTCTGTATGAATCCAAA